TAATAGAATTCCAAGCGACCGAGGCGTACTCGAGCTTGGATCTAACTAAGGTTACATATAACATATACAGGCAATCGAGAGAAGAGAACGAAAAGGTTAATGTGCGAACAAGACCCAGCAACTTAATACAATGTGAAAATATGTGGTCAACATGGTTGTGAAATCGGAGCTTGGAGTCGATAAATATTCCCAGGTCTTTAATGGTATCGGTACGTGTTATGGAGGACTGAAAAAGTTTGTAATCAAATATCAAAGTAGTGTTTTTCGTGGAGAAGGTAATTACTGTAGTTTTACTAATATTGAGTTTCATGAAGTTAGCAGTGCACCAACCTTGTACCGAGTCAATGTCAGTTTGAAGTTGATTGCAGTCGTTGGGAGATTTAATGGCACGAAAAATTTTGATATCATCAGCGAAAAGAAGGCATTTAGAATGATTAATTACTTGGCATATATCATCAATAAACAAATTGAAAAGTAGAGGACCCAACACAGATCCCTGTGGAACTCCAGAGAGGACTACAAAAGGAGACGAAAGAGTTCCAGAAACGCGAACCTGGGATTGTCTGTTGGTTAAGTAACTACGAAACCAGTGTACATAACCATCAGAGAGTCCAAAAGCACTGAGCTTGTTGAGTAATAGATTGTGAGGGACAAGATCAAATGCACTGCTAAGATCAAAATAAACAGCATCAGCTTGACCCTGGGAGCCAACTATTGGGTTAATAAAATCAAGATAAGTTACGAGATTAGTAACTGTAGATTTAGATTTAGTGGTAATAATTTTAATTAAATAATAATTAAAATACATTTGCTTGGAAATTCTGTTAAATCGGATGATTCTTTTCCAACTCTGATACGTCAGATGAAGAATGGACCTCATTTCAAGATACTTACAGCAACTGAGGATGATCACGAGAGGACACAGTTGAGTGCTGAGGCTGACCTAATGAACTTCATTGATGGTAGTCGCGACAGCACTTAGGTGTGTGCGTTAATGAGGCAATATTCAGCGATGAGAATGTTCAAGATGGCCTCAGAATGTACGTGCGAGAGGTACGCAAAGTTCCTCTCTGGTTTATAGAAACTGTAGATCGATGCTCTGACTTCTGGAACAGAGTTGCAGTCAAGCGGGCGTCGAGAGGACTAGGGATCGGAAAGGCGCTCCTGGAGGAAACTCTGAGGGTGGCGAGAGATAACGGATTCCTGCTACTTCGTAGTTACTACTCGGCGAGCATCGTGGGATTTGAATGCATGAATTCTCTGAATACAGAAGTAAAGATGGACATCAAATGTTTGTTCCGCCCAGTCCTCGTGAGGAATTCAAAATATTCACCACGTGACCTGCGCGTATGTTAAAATACAGGGTGTGACTGTTACCTGTTGATGTATTATAATAAATTGTATGTGTATTTCCTTCCTAGACTGTATGTGAATATCCGCGTGATCTATTTTGCGTTTATATTGTTATTATCAGATTATACAAGAATAATTAATCTATGCCTTTTGTAAAACACTGATTCACGTAACTTCAGAGCCTGTGGGATTAAAATAATTTGTCATTTTCCCACCGTCTTATACGATCGTATTCCAACATTCAGAAGTTTCAAAATAGATCTTTATGATCTAGTTCTGTCTTCCTTCATCATCGACATGTAATTTAAACGATCCTCGTCAGTTCTGTTAACTATTTTTCCCCCTCCTAGATTTCAGCCACTTTCACGTGTCTTCGTTATAAGGAAATCACAATAATTATTTAAATATCGTAATTTTTATATTCCATTCTTCTTGTGCCAGTCTTTCACGTAACTGATTGTTCATCAACAAAAGACTCACTTCGGTATGCACGTATTATTTTTTTAGCGTTAGTAAATTATTTTCATCTCTCCACGTGTTATTGCACGAGGTAAAATGTGGCAGGTGAGTAGTTTGCGACAATACTTAGTATTATCACTACAAAACAGTCAAAATAAAAATCCCCCATGAGAAAAGAATACATTAATTTTTTCTTAGCAGAGGTTTGTCGGTCTTATAAGACATTTGCTACTTTCTTGGTAGTTGCTGGGTTGACGAGGTCAGAGGTCAGCTGCCTTGGGGTGCGTTCATCTCCTTTGTGTTTTCGTGGTTTGTGTTCACCTTTGATAGATAAGTCATTTTGTGTCTTATTAATTCTCTTAGACCTTAAAGCCTATAACAGATACATACATTTATGGACTCTTTTCCTGTCACAGATTTTATAACTTCAGAATTTTAATAAATAGTTTTGATTATTGAGATAAATATTCAAGACGTCAGAATCCAGTACAATAAAATAAATCCTTAAAATCGTGAAAACAGATGAATTAAACTACATCAGACAGGACACAAACGTAACTAATGACATGAATATTGATATAATTGATTTAAAGTCCGTGACTAATATTCACAAAATTTAAATTCTGGATGCGATTACACAGGGAACATTTCCAGAAATGCGTTTCGTACACGTTAATGGTGAAAGCTAACCAGAGGACTTCGTATTGCGACTGTGGAAGACTCCGTCCTTAGTTACGTTTGTGGTCGGTTGGCTGGTTAACTAATCTTCTGTCTTGTTGCACCGCGTAGTCTGGTAGAAGTCTACTGACGTTTCAGATATCCTTGCTGCCTCCATCATCAGGGGTCAGTAAACTCTCTACGAGACTGCGCGGTGCAATGACCCAGAAAACAGCCATCCTCAGACTCACGGCCACGAAGACCTCAAAAACTGGAACTATTTTTCTCTGTAGTGTCCTTTGAATCATTTTTGTACAAATTTTTCCATGGTATCATCAGTTTTTACCTTTTAGAAATACGTGATAGGTCACGTAATGATATTAAAACGGCAGTGAAAAGTGGTTACTGTCTTGGGTAGACTGAAAACATCTTACTTTATGACACGCGAATCAGTTTTCATGACACCTACGTAGAAAGACAGCGAATGAGTCTAAACGTGGAGATTCGCATTACACATCTTGTACTTAAACTTACTTTCTCTCTGTTCTTCGTATCTTAAATGAGATAAATTTTATCCGACACTGGCAAAGTTTCATTTTAAAGCAAAGGATCGAATGATTTATCATTTACACCGTTTCAGTGCGCGTGCGTGTGTGTGAGATATATATCGATGTTTTTAAGGACACGCCCGTGACGTAAATTGAAGACTACCAGATCTCTTCTCAAATTAGACTCATATTATCCATCAGTTTCATCTTCTTCGCACGTAGGACTAATGTCTCTTGAAGCCTGCAGTGAGGTGTTGTGTGTAGCGAGAATGAGGAACTCCTCTACCGTTGGCCGCCATTTTAGCAGTTAAGCCAACGGTGGTGGAGTTACCACCCCTCGCTACACTTCTTATCTGCACACAGCTTTGTAGGCCTGCAACAAATGAAGATTAATTAATTTTTATCTGTTTTTTAAAAGATTAAATTATGACACGTGGTATTCTGTAAATGTCACTAGATAATTTAGGATGAGTTGATTGAATTTGGTGGCAGAGTACGTAATGGAATTGAATTTTGTAGACGGATTCCCTACAGCAGTGACAGGCAGAGGTAGCCAGCTGTCTGTAAACCTGTTTGAACAGGAGCCACGCCCAGAACTTCCCAAAATTCCCTCTAAACAAAACACATGCCTGAACCTGAAACATGTACCAGGCATGACTTTTGGTTCCATCAGCTAAGTAACTTAATTAACTAACTTACTTCTGGTCAGCTGAAGAATGTACCTTCGATCAGACTTACTGGTTGACTTCGTAAGTTACTTGTTACGTAACTGAGTGACTAAGTGGACTTCTTAAGTTACTTATTACCAGACTAAGTCATAAATTAGCCTGGGTCTACAATGTGAGACTTGGGCATTAATAGGAGAATAATTTTAAAATGGATCTTACAGAATGTCCAATAGTGGGTGCCTGTGAACACGTAGACGTTGGTTATTGATAGTTGCTTAACAAGTTGTAATGGTGGTTGTGGACACGTTTTGTCTTTATATATGAGTTAAATTGAAATATAACAATCAATTTTTATTTCAGTGATTATATTTATGTTATGGAAAACTTGTTTCAAACCATCAAAAATAAAACTCTCATAGAAATAACTTCTATTTTAAAATATACATTAATTTATCAATAGATGTTTCACGAGTCATCTTATGAAACTAAACTAGAATATATTTACTCCGAGATAGAGGTGAAAGGATATAATATGATCGTATAAAGGCCAACCAATGCAGTACAGATCATCAGCATTTTGGATAATCCATAAATCCATCTTTAATGCATCTCTTGCTATTTGATAGTAGCCCTATTAATTAAGGAAGACAGGGAACATGTCAGGACATCCGGGATTCGAAGCAGACATCTCCCAAACCCTGATCATATTCTCTGCCACTAAGATAGATGATCGATTCCTTTGTCTTCATACGAGATTGGTTTATAATTCGAATTTTCATCCAACATTATTCTTGTAAGGATCAAACATATGGCTGACATACTTGTCAAGAAAACCTTATAATTTATTTGGTGGCGGAGTTGTTTATTCCACGCAGACTTCCAGAATCTGTAGAACACCTGCTCAGAGTCCGGCTGTAACAAAGACGATATATTAGGAACACGATACATCCCTTAAGGCCCCATCCCAGTGCCACGTTTCCAGCTCAAATCTCTGACGACTGAATTATTAATCTTTTTCTCACCCAAAATAGGATCTGAGGCTTTTTCATGGCGGTGAATACGAAGACGGCTGTCTTCTGGGTTGTAGCGGTACAACCCAGAAGACAGCCATCATCGTAATTCACACCCTGCCACCGTATTTCCATGAGATACATTTTAATATTATCCTTCCATCTCCCCCTGTTTCTTGAGTGGTCATTTCCCTTCAGATATTCCAATCAAATTTTGTATCCATTTCTCATCCTATGCCACGATAATCTCGTATTATAATAAATGTTAGTAAATTTTTTGAAAGCTGTAGCGTGCGGCCGAGATTACCCACTGTGACTTGAACGATGTGTACCGCCTGTGAAATGTGGGCGCGCAGAACAGGTTGTGGGTAGGATGGATGACCTTGTGTGTTGTTGCCATGCGAGCGGCAGAGCGCGTTGAACAGTCCATCCCATCAGCAGCCTTGCAGTTCTGATCGCGACGGAGGTTCAACAAATGAGCCCCGACAGATGGATGGTGGCCATTCAACAAAGAAAAGAAGTCACAGTGTGATACCAGCACAGAACAATTTATGTTGACGAAAATTACAGAAAAAAATATCAATTAGAGGAGTACAATTTTTTTTTAAAAAAAATTCATGTCCAGACACAAATTATCGAGGGAGTAGGAAATACTTTATTTCGTTGTCGTGCTCCTGACATCTATGAGCGGGATGCGAAAATATTTGGCCCTGCGTATGTTAGTGACGTCTGGCGTAATTATTGAGAACTTTTTCTTTTCTTAACTCAGACTACAAAACCCGGAGATATATTCGGGGTAAGTCTGATCACGTGGTAGCAAATGTGGTTATCCTGACGTGAGGTGGTCCTGGACAGCTTCTTAAAGCGGCCTGCCTACAAAAAGGGGTAATCAAATAATTAAAATTTTTGTATGGGTGTCCTTGTAAGTGACATTGACCTGTTGGTCGCGCTGCGATGCACGTTAACTGTTTTAAGAGAACAGTTCGCCATTTCTGGTTAGCCGGAGTCCTTGAACGAGGGGCTTCATTCGTTTGGATCTGCAGGTACTATCTTCCTTTGTTCCATTTGTCTTTACTTCTCCCGTGTTTGACAGCTCCATTAGAGTTGCCTTCCTGACTGACTCGACGAGTAACTTACTTAGTGTTTGAAGAATATCTGGCTGACTGTTTGCTGATTGACTAAGAAAGGGTCTAGATTTGGGGCAGCCTGTATTGAGGTATGGAATAGGTCCTTTGAAGTCGTGGCTGATTTCAGATATCTGTTGGAACGATAACAAGCCAAAATCACATTCACAAAAAAATTAAGAGCAGGTTAAATTCAATTTTCACGTGACCTGTATTTTTCACGTGACCTGTCAACATTAGCAGAAATTGCAAAAATTGTTTCAGGAAGTTCTACAGGAACAGAATCGTCTTGACAGCCACCACGACTAGCTCCACGGAACAGAGTTCTTGAAAAACTGAGAGTTGCTCATCTGATCATGAAATTCCTCGCCCTTTATATGACTCGCAGATCCGTTGTCGTGTTCGCTACGGCCCGACATCTTGAACCACGTGAATCCAGTCCAAATTCATACGGAATTTTGGTGGGAACGGGTCGCTCAGAAGACCGAGGGATAATATTGAGGGTGGTCGTATGGAAATCGGTTGCGATCTTTGGCAGAATGAAGTGGTTCAGGATCGTGTCCAGTGGCGGGCCGTAGCGATACATTTTAATATTATCCTTCATTTTACGTCACGGTCTGACAAATGATCAGGATTTTCGACCGAAATTTTATACGCATTTCTCTTTTATTAAGTGAGGCCTGTGAGGTTTATCAGGGAAATATTTTATTTTTATGATATTTGAGACTTTGCCAGTAAAGATGTTGATTTTTTTTTGTATTTTGGGTTATAACGCCGTGTTGACTTGTAGGTTTGGAGGGACGTACTGCCTCCATCTTCAGGGGTGGTGTTCCTATGAAACCTTGGTAAGTCCACACGGCGTCATGACTCGAAAGATCAACACTGACGAGGCTTTTGTAAAGTGTGCGTAGGTACGTTGTAACAGCTTTCAGTTCGTGTTGTAAAAGCGAATTTTATGAGTGCGGTTGTACGTGTATGTAAGTTTTTAAGGCACTCTGGTTCAAGGCCGGCCTTCTGCGTGTTGCAGTGCCAAGCAACTTCCAGGAGAAAGGCGACCAACTAACTAACTAACTGAGCAGGATGTTCGGCTCTTAGGTTAGTGCACAAAGAACGGTCTAAGTGCAGGGAAGGAGCGAACTGAGGAAACCTGCCGTGTGCTTCGCCGCTCTGAGGCCACGCGTTGAGAAATTCCGCTATAAAACAATTATTTAGTTTGTTGTATTAGTTTCATGACGCTTTACCAAAGACATCGGTTTCGTACATTAAAAGGAATTAAGTCTGAATCTGTCGTGGCCGGTTTTTTTAAACTACGCAATCTGCTGGACACATTAGTAAGCATAATCGAAAGCCGGTTCGAGAATCGAACGAGAAACTATCGAATTGTAACATCTACACCGTCCAGATCTGGTTAGTATTCTTCTATCGTCTCAGTTTCCATCTTAATGCGTGCTACATGCTCCATCCATCCAGTGTTCCTTGATTTGGTTACCATAATAGACTGATATCTGCTTAAGGGTAGGACTATTACAATGAGTGAAGTGAATCGTGATTTCTTAATAGCTACTTGCTTATATTAAAGCATTAATCTCTTAACATGGACGAAATCACGACAAAGCTTTTATAAATCCTGAATCCAAGATTCAGTTCCAGATGTCCGATGATTATGTTAATTTACTAGGCAAAAACACACATAACACAGAGAACATTAAGTGGGAACAGATCATTATATAAAGGTAACTAACAGATTATTTTAAAAATATATATATATATATATATATATATATATTTGTTAGCGACACTAACAAATCAAAATTACATTCACGAGGAAGCTGATAGCAGATTAAATTCGCGAAATTCTTGCTACAGTGCAATTCAGAATTTTACCCGTTGCTTTGTATGGTTGTGAAAGATGGTCTCTGTAGTTAAGAACAGAGGTTAAGGGCGTTTAAGCACAGAGTGCTGAGGGTAATATTTGGATCTAAGAGGGATGAATTGGTAGGAGGGTGTGGGAAACCGCAAAATGAGGAGATTCATAATTTGTACTCTTTACCAGATATAATTAGGATGATGAAATCAGGGAAGATGAGATGGGCAGGGCATGTAGCACGCAGGGGGAGATGATAAGGAAGACCTAGGCGTAGATGGGAGGATACTATTAAAATGTATCTAAAGGAAATAGGGAAGAAGGGTGTAATTGGATTAATCTGGCTCAGGATAGGAACCGGGGGTGGACTGTTGCGAACACGGTCATGAACATTCCGGTTATATAAAAAATCAGGGAAATTTTTTGCTAACTGAGCAACTTTTACCTTTTCAAAGAACTCCATAGAGTTAGTCATTCGATGTATTTTTAAATAAATCCATTTATATTAACCGATAAATGCATTAGTTGGCTGGTTGCTGGATTAATCGTAAATGCTTAAGTGATTAAACACTTTATTTGATTTATATTAATAATGTTTTTAATTCTCTTGCTAAACCAACATTAGACCGAGCTTTTGGTAGTGAAATATTGACCATGAGGTCTACCTGATGAACCAAATAAAGAAATAATTGAGGAATTACAATACGCACAATAGAAATTTTTATATAATATTATGAATGAAAATGGAAATAAAATTGTGGAAAAATTACGCCAATAGGGCCACGGAAAATTGTAAAATGTCAACCAGTGGAGCAATACCTCAGATGAAGACTGCTGTTTTCTGGGTTGTTACACCTTGCATTCTGGTAGAAGTTTGCCGACGTTTCGGAGGCATTTTCTGCCTCTATCATCAGAGCTAATCGCCCAGATTACATGGGGCAACATCCCAGAAGACAGCCATGTTTGTACTCGCCGCCTTGATGACCTCAGATAAGTTCGGATATTCCTGTTTCGTGACATTAGTAAATAAACAACCCTGCCCGTCACAGCGGAGGATGTCAGTGGCTCTGACATTCGCTAATTACAGCCAGTTACCCCCGAATGTTGACCAATCTTCGTCACACAATTCGCCACAGACGCCTATCTAATTCGTGGGTTATAAATGACATCGACGAGACGGTAGACATCATCTTTATCGACTGAGACACCGAGGATAATACATTATCGATATAAGACGTTTATATTATTCGCCGCAATTTTCGTATTGCCTAGTTTTTATTTTTTATTTTTGGTGTAACCGAAATTCGACCGTCATCAGGTCCTGTGAACTCTTTCGGCCTTGGTTGGCGTTAAGAAAGGCATATTCTTTTTTTACTACTGTTCGGGAGTCGATTCAGGACCTCCGTTGCGCTGGGTAGAGAAATGAGACACTGAGCATCACAGATGCAGTGAACTTTTAAAGAAAATTCCGTAAAGACAGTTAAATATGTCTTCTTTAAATTATCTATAGTTATAGAGAAAATAGAGAAATGCTTTTAACGTATCTGAGTAATACATAAACATACAGTCCGTACCGCAAAGAAAACACAACCTGTCTCCATGACAACGATCAATTACTTAACGCTGTTTAAGAAGGAAATAATAACTGTTTATTCTGAGAATTATACGGAACCTATAAGTACAAATTACAGAGTTAATTATCATTTGAGCATGTAATTACGACTTTGCTTTAAAAGGTAAAGGAAGGAGAAGCCTTGTGCTATGGAATGAGTTAAGACTGGGGGCGCTTCAGAATAAATTATCTTTAATCGAATACGAATAAATTAGACAAAATTTGCTGTTATCACTGCGATGAATATGTCGATCTCGCTTTTCTGCTTGTGACTTCCTCAACAGTGAAGATGGAGACAGTACGTTCCTCCGAAACGCTGGTATCTACCTTCGAGACCACGCGGCGTTACAATCCGGGAAAACAACGTCTACAAATAAATTTGATGTTGCTTTTAAGTGACGTCGTATATGAGAATTGCGTACAGCTCCACGCATATTTAACTCTGACACTTGATGAATACGAGCTGTCAGCTTCACAACTCCCGAAAATAAAAATATTAGGTGATATTTTACAGGTTCTGACGGTGGGGGAGTATAAATGTGTTCTAGGATGTGAGCGATGAACAATGATGATGGGGATCTCCGAAACGTCGGATATTGAATCAGTTTAAGTAATTCAATCACGGGTGACACTTTCATTCCACGCTACATTACTTTAGTAACTTTTTAAATAAACTGAGCGAATTTCGATCAGAAACAAAGGGACCTCCACGTGGAAACAACTGTGACAGGAATCCGGCAAAGGTTAACATTGCCAACAGCAGCTCTCAAGGCTGCGTGCAGCAGAATGAGTTACTTTGTGAGTGAAAGTAAAAGGGTAATGACGTCACATTTCCCGTTCCCTTGGTTACTTAATGGCCGATACGTCTTCTTTCCCTTGGCTCTGAGGCCCGATCAGAGTCAAGGACTCTCGTCGTATTCACCCCTGTGCCTGTAGGGAAGAAAGCATACAAGTACGTGGTCACCTTCACGCTTCGTTCGTTTTAACCCCGACACCCACTGGGTGGGCCTCAGAGCAGTTCGACGCGTTCCGGCGTAGATGGAAATTTTTTTTATCCTTGTCAGGGATAGAACCCGGAGTTTCTAGCCCGAAATCAGTCTCTCCCTTAAACGAGATGAATCCAAACTTAACAATTTACTTAAATAAATTCAAAATTCTTAATTTAAGGTGTTAAGATAATCTTAATCGTTGCTTCTTTGACGTTAATTTTTTGAGGGGTTCTTAAACCTTTCAAGGCCTGGAGTTGCAATTAAAACTTTCTTATCGATTCGTGGGCCGCCATGTTACAATTAACGAGGAATTTTTTTTTATAAAAGTTCTGGGCAAACAGGTTTACATATTATTCGATTTTAAAATATTTATTAATTTGCTACTTTAACTATTTCATTTCAGGCGAAAGGAGTAACGCAGGCAACTCCCGAAACGTCGCGTACATCAAATGTACCTCAGACAATGGACAATGTCCAACACAGCACTCGTATAATAATTTATAAACATGTGTTTTACTGTAAAAAATGCCTGTCTTTTGCCAACTTTGTACTGGCTGCTGTAAGAACCACAAATCCTATTATTTTATTTATTTATTTAGTGTTCTGTGTGACGACAGGTCCATATGAACAGGATCCTTCCATCCTTTTCTCGGACTGGGACCTGTTCATATACGTTTTTGGCAGATGATCCAGAAGTGGTTTTCCATTGCCTTCTTCTGTGTGTGAATGTAGTAATTGTTGGGATGCCACGGAGAAACCGGGGAAGCCCCCGGAGGAAAACTCCGTGTTGCCTAGACCACGGCCTTGCCCAACACAAGTTATAAATTCGGGCACCGCCGGGAATCGAACCCGAGACCCCAGGATTACAAGGCCAGCGTTCTAACCGCTAGGTCACTTCAGAAGTTTGCACGGCTACTTTATTTATAGCATAGATAGAACGAAATCAAGGCAAGTATCATGATGTTCATACGAAGTTTCAGCGAAATCCGTTTATTTGCTTTCAAGATCTTAAGGGGGGACATAACTGTTACCACCAAATGCAATAAGGAATAGGATCCTGGACACATTCTCTTTCCTCGATAATGACTGTAATGAAGGCCATCGCAGGTGGCACAGTTCCGCGATGGCCGAAACAGCTGATTTAATATAAAGAACATGTATCAGCCATTGCAATTTGTCTGATGGCCTCTCACTTAATACAACACAGATCGTGGTTATCAGAACGGTGAAAACGTATTTTAACGCCGTGTTGACTTGTAGGTAGATATATAAACGTTTCGAAAGAAAATACTGCCTCCATCTTCAGGGATAAATATTGAAAGTCTTTCGTAACGAAATGCTGAAGAAAATATTTTGTTATAATGTAGAGGAAACGACAGGAAGATGAGAAAATATTATATAATTTGTAACCTTTCGTTAATTTAATTATTATAATTAAATATAGAAGGATGAGGCGGATGTAACATGTGGAAAGTATGAGGAAAGTGTGTGCGCGCGCATAGAGCATTTCAGTGAGAAAACCACAAGGGGAATATTACATCGGGGACGTGGAAGGTGGGATAATATTAAAATGGAACTTAAATAAATATGTGAGGATTTGGGACAAGACGAAACAGGGGTAAAGACAGGATCCAATGGCCGACGTTTGTGAGAAATTGTGAATCTTCGCATTTCGTGAGACTGAGAATGGTTTTTTTTTCAGCTGAACAAATATTAACTTTCTAAGAGATACCACAGCGTTAGATAATTAGTCTATTGAACGTGGGCGTAGTCAAGGGTATATAGACACTGCCGTGTGTAGTCTCGACACTTTAAAACTCACCGGTAACTATATGTACCGTCTGTTTTAAAACATAAATAACTCGATATTTTCTCCCACGCAGTGTTTTTCGTATGATTCTCGTAATAAATGGTGGATTATTTCCTTAAACAGTGTTAACCAACTAATCGTTGTTTGTACATGCATCTTGAAAGCGCTTAAATTTTGATAGTTTAGTGTCCAGGGCTCTCAATAAATAGTAACATATCGATCTACTTGTTTACTTTACATAAAGCTCAGTTCAAATTCTATCAGTAATTTTTTCTTTCAAAAACGACTCCACGTAGTAAATATGGATGTGAGATAAATTTTAAGTCTCCTTAGGAACTGCAACTTAAGTTTAAAACTTTCTTACGTGTTAAATACTTAACAAATTAAACTTATCTCTGCACTGCTGATTAACTTTGTTAATATCAGAATTGTTTTTCATGCAGTATTTAATCACTAACTATACTTAGCTTTGTCAACAATAGATTTATATCTGTAATAAATTAGCATGAGGACCAATCAGAGCGAACTGATTTTAAATCTGTACGTTTGAACGAGAGCTTATGGAGCAATGTAGCTCCATTGTTAACAATGAGGCTGTGCGTACTTACCAGCAAACAGATAAACCTCACTCCCACAGTTTTCTTTGCCTTGAAGTGAATTTGAGTTACACACGAGACACCAACACACAGAACAACGACTGAATTCGTATTTTGGGGGGGTTGATTCTAACACAGCGCCCGGCTTCCTTACCCGAGTTTGAAAGTCAAGTGGCTGTTACAGGTATTCTCAGGTAAGAAAGGAAAAAAGAAATGTAGAACTGCAAGCCAATAGCTGTTGCTGCCAACCGGTTTCTCGTGGTGGCCTCGGGTTGCTGTCTGTCGGTCGACAGGAGACGCTGTCCCACTCAAAACAGCAATAGCTTAAGTGCCTCTCCGGGGTGTTCGGGGCTTCAAACCAGGGTGCCAAATAAATGACTTATCGTTACCAGTGGACTTAAATTACGTGACGAAAGCGTTATGGGGGAAAAGTTTTACGGTTTGAAATTGCAGCTGATAAAGTTTTTTGGTTATCGGTAAAATTAAGTTATGGAAGAAGGACTTTGTGAAGAAAGTGTGTTCAACGGGAAGATTATTCTGCCCGAAATATGTGTAAATGGGAAATTTTTCTTTATTGTTGTCAGATTTATTGTTTTGTTTTAAAATATCAGTAAAGGAATTGTACCCCGCCATCTCTTGACAGTTACAAGAAACTACATGTAGCTTTAAATCACCCACAGATTTGAGGTTTTTCCAACCTCACAGCCCAAGAGACCACAACGAACAATTGAAATCATACATTGCGTGGAAATATAGTCTACCTGTAGGAAAATGTTTCTTTAAAGAGTTTATGAATTCTCCGGTCCCTCAGAATTATAGGCTTTCTCTCGGCTCTGATAAACTCTGTGTTGGAAGTACTAACACGATTTTGAAATAATCCAGTTTGTTAGTATATCTATGTAATAGTGAAGTAAAGCTGTCCTACTATACGCCATGTAGGCGCTTGGGGGGGGGGAGAGGAGGTATAGCTCCTACTCAATCTTGAACTCGGCAGTAGATGAGTGGTCAGCATCACGCCCCGGCCGGCTTTACCCATAGTCAGACACTAGATCAAATCCCGTACATGCTACTGACAGTAATTATTTAATTAATTAACCTGTTAAGTACTAATCAGTTAACTGTGTAATTTAAATAAATAATAAAGCAAATAACTAACTCATTACTTAATAAAAATAATTAATGAAAACAAACTTTTAAGCAAGTACAACATTGTCTGATCATGTGAATGGTACATAACGGACCGATCGGCTACCTAACTCAGTGGTATTCAACCTTTTTTGTTCGCGTACCCCCAGATATAATTTCTCTTCAACTTTGTACCCCCAAAGTTGTTGGTGTATAATTCAAGTTATACATATTATATAATCTACATCTAAAATAAATTAAATAAATTACATTACTGATTATTCAGTGTTTATCATAAAATAATATATATTTTTAAATTTCACGTACCCCCGGGGGTACGCGTACCCCAGGTTGAATACCACTGACCTAACTTATTAGGTTCACAGATAACTAAGTAATTAACGAATTAACCAATATTCAAGTAATTGAGTAACTAATGTACTAATTACAGTCGATAGTTGTTCAGCTGATTTGAGTTGCCATGGAAACCATAGGGTGAGGCAACATTGCCCGGAACAAGTTTAGAAGCCACTCACTCACCACCTCTTCAAGGAGAAGAGAGGCGGAAACAAAGGAAAGAAAGTTCCAAATAATTCGTCTTCTCCTCCCAGAAAGCAGCTTCGTACTGTCAAGATGTGAAGAGACGACTCAGGAATTTGGGGACGAGAGACATACTCGCGTTGGTTCGGTTTTCTTCTTGTTTGTGAACGTGCTCAGACGAAGACTGTGCCTGCAGGCGTCACTAGGAATGCGGCCTCCGCCACGCACTGAACGCAGACGGACGGAGAAAATTACATAATAAAGAACTTCAGCGCTAGTGACTGTGGACTGCTCGTTTAACAAACTGGTTAATGTTGCTTAGGGAAATAAGATGGAAGTCTTCTAGGTTATTTCGCCTTTTAGTCTGCTGTAGAAGTATACCGACGTTTCAGAGATACTTGCTACCTCCATCATCGCCCTGACGATGGAGACAGCAAGTACCTTTGACTTAGTAGGTTTGATGCAAGTCTTGGTGTTAAATAGTCATAATTAACAAATATTTTCCAAGAACTAAATCCTCTGAGCTAGAGACTTTGACGATCTTGGTCCTTCGGCCATTTAGTTGGTAAGTTGACGTTTTGGAGAACCAGAAGTCTTCCTGCCCTACACCCAGTTTCTCTTTTGTTATTAATCAGGTTTCTGACTAAAAAATTCTGTAAGCGTTTCTCGTCTGACTCCTGTCTGCTGAATGTCCAGGTCACCTGAGTCTCCTCTGTATAAATAAACCACGAATATGAAATATACATCAACAATCATATTTAAATTGTAATTTTTGCATCTGCAACCCCTTTATGCAGGCAGCAGGCAATACACCTCTGAATCTGTAAAAGGCTGTTGAATTCCTTCATTGTCGGAGCCTCAAGGACTCTCCATCTCCGAGTTAATAACCACTTTACTTGCGTCAAAAACAGTTGCTATCCAGCTCAGAATATGGAGGTCTTGTAAGTCCGTTAAACTCGTATATTGAGGTACAAACCCTCAGAGGCTTTTTTTCCCCGTCCTCTGAACCTTTCTTCACCCTAAAGAATTCGGGCTGTACCCCCTGCCAAAACCAGGTACAAAACTGACTGAATTGGGGGGCCCTCTGTACTATGAATGTAAGATCATGAGAGCAGGAAGTTTGTGAAATAAGTGGGAGTTACTGGTTTGGGCTTTGAAGAACGAAATAACCATTGCAGTAGACTTAGGATCTGAAGTTCTCACGGCTGTGAAAATGTTGAGTGTTGGTCTACTGGTTAGTGACACTGTATGGATTGATAGACGTTTCGGAGGAAAGCCCTTTAGATCTCTCATAGTTGGTACTGCTGTAGTTTTCTTAAAGCCACTGCGCGTAGTTTGTGTTACGAATTGCAGAGTCGTTATTCTTAAAGTTGACGTGATGTCAGTTTACGCCCGCGGCGTCCTTTGTGCTGGCTCTCGGCGGGGCCAGACATCCCTGAAGTCACAGCCTTTGTCCACCTTTCGTTACTGTTTAATGGTCGGACTGACGATGTCCAACTTACGAGCCAACGAAATGGCTTCCTATCGGACTAACTAATGCCGATTGCTGTATTTATATTTCTAATTACATTCTTATGAACGTAATGCTAAAGAAATGCAATGCCCCCAAAACTCGAAACTGATATTTAAAGATTCAGTCCGTACCTCGAAGTAAACACAACTCTTCACCATTACATCGATCAGTTGGTTAACGCTGTTTAAGGAAATAATCGCTGTTTACAGCGAGAATCATAGTTCGTCTGAATAATATTTAAGAATTCAGTCCGTACCGCGAAGTAAACACAACTCTTCACCATTACAACAATCAGTTGGTTAACGCTGTTTAAGGAAATATAATGGATGTTATCTGAACCGACAAATACACGTTGTGTGTAAAATGTAGAAGTGTTGATTGTTGAAACAGGTCAATTTCCATTGTTCGATTGTTGTCCCTAGCTTCTCTCACTGGGATAGTAAGCACGCGTCATGAGGTTGTTTCCAGAACTCGTTGTTTGTGACCCCCGCCTAGTAGCGTCTGAAGGCAGCAACCAGCGAGCTAGTCCAGCCTTGTCTTCGGTCGACTACCTCGGCCGTCCGAAGGTCAAAGGTTCGAAACTCTTGAATGCTAGATCCCAAGATCCTCATCTGCTGTGTCTGAGAAATGATCGCGGATTACCTTGCAATTTTTGTTTAAGGCCACTTCATATCGGGGTGGGGAGGAGAGATGATATTAAAATTGTTTTTTTAGAAGCTTTACATTTGTACGGACTGAATTCTTAAATAATATTCAGACGAACTATGATTCTCGCTGTAAACAGCGATTATTTCCTTAAACAGCGTTAACCAACTGATCGTTGTATTGGTGAAGAGTTGTGTTTACTTCGCGGTACGGACTGAATTCTTAAATAATATTTATACAAATTTGTGGTTTGTAATGAAAGAAGAATCTTGTGGCTCAGGCTTCAGACCTGGGGCATTATTTTTTGAACACGACAATGAACCTTAGGCTTCTATAAATGCGGGTTTTTCTTGCCTGTCTGAGAGAACGTGAATCTCAAGGCGATGTCTGCTGTTGCAAGGATTTAGTTAGATGACGATGATGATAGTGATTGGGTTTGTTTGTTTCTTTGTTAATCATGAGTCAGTCGTAGAAAAAATACCACACGCGCGGGTTAGAGCTCGCCATTGCCTGGCCTTGGACGGAGTAAGGACTCTCCCGTTATGAGTAGCAAACAGACGATCTCCAGAGATCACTTTCTCTGACCGACAGCGGCCATGGGTCATTACGTTCATGTGACGAAGTTCTTAAGCAAAGCCACGTGGGAATTCCTTAACTTTTTTTTAAAAAAAAATTCTTCATGTTCCTTCGTCTATTGTTTTTTTTTAAATATTTTAAGACGAAGTTCGTCTAAATATGTCTGAATTCAGTCTGTACCTCAAAGAAAACATCTGTAGGTAAAATACAGGAATCAGGTGATGTTTATGGTTAAGAAGATGGCGGTGTCTCAGCTGAACAAGAAATTCATCTCCAGACGCCGATTTTAACATTTTCTTGGCTTATTCATACAACTTTGGTCTTATCTTGAACCAGTGGAAACAATGGAGTTCAGGTCTGAAAATAAGTAATTTAAGTAAACAATTAAAGTAAATAAGTCGCGGAAACAATCAGCATAAGAGTACAGATTCAAGAAATGCGTACAAAATTTTTGTTGGCAACCCGCATAGGAAACTTCCATTTCTAAAACTAAGAAGGAAATGATAACATTAAGATGAGTCTTAGAGAAACACGTACATAGTGACAACTGAATGTTTATGACGTTGGTGTCGAAAATGTCCAGCGAGACAGAGGAGAGGTTTTCCTTAGAACAGTGGTATTCAACCTTGGGTACGCGAAGACATCTTAGGGGGTACGTGAAATTTTAAAAAAAATATTATTTTATGATAAACACTGAATAATCAGTAATGTAATTTATTTAATTTATTTTAGATGTAGATTATATACTATGTATAACTTGAATTATACACCAACAACTTTGGGGGTACAAAGTTTAAGAGAAATTATATCTGGGGGTACGCGAACAAAAAACGTTGAATACCACTGAGTTAGACTACAGAAACCAGAGAGTTATTTAGCTGCGTGGTTACTTGTGGTTTATTATTTTAAACAGCAGTCTCCGAGTGCTTACTGCGATAAAAGTTGTTAGACGGAGGGAGCCATGTTGATTATCGGGACTTAATTTAAATAAAGCTGTCCGATTTGAAACTAAATGCTGTTTGAACTGAAATTCTGACACAAACCTGTTTGCTAGGTCACTCAGGCGAATTATCAAGGTGAAATGTCAACCTTGCTGATTATGCAACAGAGTTCTGTTAACGGGCTGTGAATTGAAAATAGTTGTGTCATACGTGTGATCGCCTTTCTCGTTTCCTGGAACCCTGTATCACGGAAGTTGCAGGATTGATTTCCGTTGTTGTCAGAGGCAGGCTGGACATTGTCACTTGTTTTGTTTAACAACTCAGAATCTGCGATTTCGAGTTCTTTGTCGACCTGTTACAGAAGACCGAGTTATGGC